ATCATGACGATGCTTAATTAGAGTATTGGTTATCAGCTTCTTATGGCCGACTGTTCAAGAAGGAGATGTGATTAATCAGCTACATACGTATTTTTTGTTCGCATGTACCGTACCGTACATAAGTTGTATTTGCCTGAAGCTTCTCTGGTGTTTGAAGTACACACTGCTCTTGGTCCGAAGAAAGCTCTCAAATGTACTCTTGTCAGGCGCTGTATTACCGGGATTACCACTACGGGTTTCATTTCTTTACGTGGTAAGTCGTCAAGCTACTTAATTAACTAGCAGCGTTTGCGGTCGTGAGCCAGACCCGTGTTGCGGAGTTTCAATTATATGCGACCGTCGGCCGACCTGGAGCTGCACGGTACACAGTGGTTGCTCACTCTACCTTGCGGGATGAAGGAAGTCGTTGGCTTCGCGACCAACGCAAAATTTTGAGTGGGAAATGTTGGGTGGTCTGATGTTGATGAAGGTTAAATGCTCGTGGTGCCGACACTAGTCGAGTTGTTTTGTTTCGGCGTCTTGGTCGGTTGTCGTACATGAAAGTGTTTTCGTTTTGGCACCGGGCTTGTTGACTTTTTTTCGTTCTGGAGGCGTGGAGTAAATTCTCGACGCTTCACCAAGCTAAGAAAGCAACGAGCACGACAGTTTTAGATCACTAGCAATTGACCTCCGGGTTTTGCGCTGGATGCGAACGGTTCGCCGAAACAAGATTGCGCTCACAATGAGTATTGCGCTTACAATTAATGTGGCCGTAGAGTCACTGGGCTAGTAGTTAGTTGTAATCTATTCGGTCAATGGGTAACAAACTGACTTGCTGAGCCGGGAATTCTATCTTTTGTAAGCGTTATGTGGCTCATTTGAGACCTTGGCGCCTGTTCAGCCGAAGACCACATACGCTGCGAAAATTAAGGCTACTTACTGATTGCCTGCTGCCCATTTATTCATGTGACGTTTGTGCCCGCTTGGTACCTAACAAGTATGTTCTTGTGTATTTAGGCATATATTTCATGACTGCTATCTGCACTGATTTTTGTCTCGACAGCGCGGGTTCTTGTCATCTCTCATACCTTGAATCTTCCTTGAAAATATCATTTTGCTCTTTATTTGTGGACCGCGAGTCTTTGCCATAGGACATCTCGGCAAAAGAATGGTGGTAACCTAGCGAGGGCATGGAGATTTCCAAGCATTCTCCACTAGATCGCTGTCTCTTTATCACATTTTTTATTACTGCATTTGTTTCTCCAGACAGCGTACGATGAGTGAGCAACTTTTGCATCTTTTCAACATCTGTATGACAGCATGTCACTGACTACGCTATTAGATACGAACAGAGTTTGGAGAAATATACCACGTTGCATATAGCATTGCATTCAGTATAACGAGGACGCGAAAACACGATTCAAAATGTTGATTATTCGTCAGCGATTGAAGGATTACTTATCACACAATACAAGCAACTCACACGACTAGACTACTTGGGATTGCAATGAGAGGCTTCTTGTCATCTGTCTGTGTGCCGGACGCAATAGCGTAGGAAAAACTCTGTGGCAACTGAAAACGCAGCACCCCACTGTTGATGTAACATCATCGCAAGTACTAGCTTGCTATCTACAAGCAATCCACCGAACAACAAGTTTGTGGTAACATACCCTACGAAGCCCGCACGACGGCGCCGACTTGTACGCTACGCGCGTGTAAGCCTCGCGCACTTCGTGCGCACTCTTCCTTCGCTCGTAAGGCTACTCAGTGGCAGAGTCGGCTTCGCCTCCGGACTGTCCTCCATTAGAGATCCAAGGAAGGTGTATCCACTTTCTTTTCACCTTACTTGTGGCAGCCAAGCGTTCATAGCGACGTTGCATTTCGATTCTTCGACGTCTGCTCTTACTATGATTGCGAAGTAAAATTCGCCAAGGATTGTGCTTAGCTACCAGTTTACGGCCAGTACCCGCTCTGCCATTGCTGAGATCGAAGGTCTCATGGAGCCTACGACAACGATGAGTTTGCGCCCGAGCATGAAACTCGACACGCCAATGCATCCGACGCGCGCCAAGGACCACGATGCTGTCTTCTCGAGCGAATGAACAAACTTCAAGGATACAATAATGCACAGTCATACGTGTCAGGAGTTGTCGATATTAAAGCTGTAGAGAATGGGGAAGACCAGCGTCGGCAAGAACGTCCGTCAAGCCTGCGGGTGTCATTGCGTCAGCTCCGTCAAAGCACACATCATAGTGTTTGATCGCGAGGCTGCCAGCGGCAAATGAGACAAGATCCGAGTCGAGAGAGCGCAAGCCGATGCGTTGCTTCATGGGCAGTCCCACGACGTCACTCCACGTGAGAGCTTCAAAGACTTCTTCCAACAAGTCCGCGTCGTTTCCACTTCCGGTGTTCAGCGTCAGCACGGTCACACCGGCGTCCGCAAGAAGCGAGCCCAAGAGCTGCACATCGTACGGGTTGCCAGCAAATGGGTCGAGCAGCGTGACTTTAACGGGTCGGGCTAGAGACGTCGCAGCGGCGGCGATGGCAATGGCATCGTCCCACTCGCGACGTGAGGCCGCGCATGAGACGCGAAGTGCCAGCGCGTGGGGCGCAATGTTTGAG